ATGAAGTTGCAATTTAGTACGTAAAATGCAATTTAGTATTTAAAATAATATTAACTTTAAATGTAATAATGAATAACACTACAGTTAATATTATAATCACATACTTTGCTTTAGCATGATAGTCAACTAAAGATAAGTGTACCTATTTACAGTAAAATATGACAAAAGATTATTAAAACATACTTTAAAGTAAAACGTAATTTGACATTATTACAAAGTTAATTTAAAAGTGTACTTAAGTGTGTTAAGAAACATGAACGCGAACTCACTTTAAGTACACTTAAGATTCCCTTTTGTTTCATTTTGATTATATGCGAGTACAGTTTTTTTCTAAACAGACTTTTAAGATTTCACTACAAGTACACATTCAAAACAATTAAGCACACTTCTTATTCACAAGAAAAAAGATGTGCATACAAATTGTGTTGTTATGTGAGTAAATCATGACATTTTGAGAGAACTATTCCTTTAAGAGGTCTAACTCTAATACACATTAAAACAAGCCACTCACGTATGTAACCTTCAGCTCAGCTGAGCATCATGGGATGCAGTGTTTCACTGCACGACTAAACCAGCAGATCCTTCATATCTATGCATTTGGCAGATGCTTTTATACCAAGTGACTTATATTGCATCGAAGATATACATTTTGTCAGCAATTGCTGTGCTTTACTGTTTGAGCTACAGGAACGCTGTATGTACAAACACACATGCCAGCAGAAAGTATTTAGAGCACATCTTTCATCTTTCAGCTGTACGCTTTACACTCATCTCTGCCTTCTGAATCACCGTTCAAATCTTGTTTATATTACTGATTTCTTTCACTTCATTTTTTCTTTCTTTTTCTGTTTGTCCTTTTTTCATTTTTTATATTCTCTGTCTGTTTCCATCTGTCCTCGTCCTCTCAGTTCTTTCTTCCTTACAGTTTTACTTTTACTGTTGGAAGGTTTAAGGATGAGTAGATTAATGTGACCTTATTGTGCCCAGTTTTTGAAAATGCTTTGTTCATTGAGCAAAACTTTTGCTGATTGTTTACAGTTTAACGGAAGTTACTCCCCTAATTTGCGCAAAGCGTCATTGGGCGTAAAGGTGGATGGTGTGGTTCAAATTAATTTCTGAAATTATTTGAGAATGTGTAATTATGCTCTTAATAAGGACAGCTCTTTATTAAGCACTTATGTTGAGAACATTTTAATTAAAAAATATACACTAACGTTCAACATTTTGGACACATCTACATCAATTTATTTGACTAAACATAAAATAATTCATCAAAACACAAACTGATGTTACAAATGCTTATAAACAGTGTATTCAGGTCAGTTGCTCACTCTCTTCTATTTGATATCAATTTCAACAAATTTATTCCATCATATAAATATAAAAAAATGTTTTAGTGTTTGTAAAGAAAGGCGTAGTTTACTCATAGACTGTAAATAAAGATGGACGACGCGTCTCCTATTCCTTCCACTATAGAAAAGTG